ATACACTGTAAGGGAAGATCTTGTCTCACTAACCTGTTAGTGTTCTTTGAGGGGGTGAACAAACATGTGGACAAGGGGGGCCCAATAGATGTTGTTTACCTTGACTTCCAGAAAGCTTTTCATAAAGTTCCTAATCAAAGGCTCCTAAGTAAGCTCAATAGTCATGGGATAAAAGGACAAGTCCCACTGCTTACCACCCAGTTTTTGATCCATAAAAGGACAAGTCCTTTTATGGATCAAAAACTGGCTAATTAATAGAAAAGAAGAGAGTGAGTATAAATGGGCAATAAACTGGGTCCGATGCTTTTTAACTTGTTTATTAATGATTTGGAGTTGAGAGTAAGCAGTGAACTGGCTAAATTTGTGGATGATACGAAGTTGTTCAGGGTGGTGAGAACCAGGGAGGATTGTGAGGCACTCCAAAGGGATATGTTGAGGATGGGAGAGTGGGTGTCAATGTGGCAAATGGGGTTCAATGTGGCCAAGTGCAAAGTGATGCACATTGGAGCCAAAAATCCTAACTATAAATACACATTGATGGGGTCTGAACTGGCAGAGACTGACCAAGAGAGAGATCTTGAAATTGTAGTAGATAACTCACTGAAAATGTTGAGACAGTGTGTGACTGCAATAAAAAAGGCCAATGCTATGCTGGGGATTATTAGGAAGAGAACTGAAAACAAATCAGCCAATATCATAATGCCCCTGTATAAATCAATGGTGCGACCTCATTTGGAATACTGTGTGCAGTTCTGGTCACCACACCTCAAAAAGGATATTATAGCATTGGGAAATGTGCAGAAAAGGGCAACTAGAATGATAAAAGGGTTGGAACATTTTCCCTATGACGAAAGGTTAAAGCGCTTGGGGCTCTTTAGCTTGGAGAAACGACGGCTGAGGGGTGACATGATCAAGGTTTATAAGATTATGCATGGGATAGAGCAGTGTGAGGATGTCCCCTGTCCTTCTCTTCGTTGTACTTTTGCAGCCTCAGAATCTGAAGGAACCTGCCATGGTTCTCGCTCCAGTTTTATTGAGATGAAAACCTCCTGGGTAGTAATTACAGCTGTCCCTGGTAGTAATTTTCATCTCAATCGATTCCTCACCGGCTGTATCCAACTTTATTTTATTTGACCTTTTAACAACCATACAGGCAACGTTAGTGAACTTCTGACCTTTCTTCTACTCTGCAGAGAACTTTCCCCAACTTCGTCGTTCTATCTATTCTACCCTCTAAGGTTCTCTGTTTTACCCTGGCCCTGCCATTTCTCTTACATTTTGCTTCGCCCTCCTTGCTCCTGTCTTCTGCCTGTCCCTTTTCTCCTAGTATAGCCCTTTCTGTCTGAGTTTGGCAAGGAGTCAGAGCCCCCTGGGTCTCTGGGGTCTGACACATCCCCCCCCTTTGCCCGGTGATCAAGGATGAGTCGGTGTCCTCGTAGAGCCGCGACAAAAAATCTGCGTTGGCATGTTGCGATCCCGATCGGTGTCGGATTTCGAACCTGAAAGGTAACAATGATAAATACCAACGTTGAATGCGGGCATTAGAATCTTTCATTCGGTAGAGCCATTGCAGGGGGGCATGATCAGTAATAATCGTGAAGGGGTTTTGATCCAAATAGTATTTAAGTGTAGTGATGGCCCATTTTACTGCCAAGGCCTCTCTTTCGATAGTAGAATACCTACATTCCGCCTTGGATAGCTTACGGCTTAAGAAAAGTATGGGTCTGTCTTCGCTTCCCGTTTCTTGGGCTAACACAGCCCCAATACCAGTGGCAGAGGCATCTGTTTGCACTATAAAGGGCTTCGAGAAGTCAGGGTTGTGCAAAAGAACGTCTTCCTGGAGAGCTGTTTGCAAATCCTGCAAAGACCTCAAGGTGGTTTCGGTCCATTTGAGTTTATTAGGTTCTTTATTTTTAAGCATATCTGTAAGGAGCGAGGCCCGTGAAGCGAAACGGGGGATAAATCGACTATAATAGCCAATTAGCCCCAGGAAGCGTCTCAATTGTCGTTTTGTACTGGGTAGAGGGAAGTCTCGGATGTGCACTACTTTGTCTGGTTGAGGTTTAAGGATACCTCCGCCTACCACAAAACCCAGGTATTTTACTTCCTGAAATCCTATTAAACTTTTCTTGGGATTAGCCGTTAGGCCTGCCTCTTTTAATGCCAGGAGCACACTTTCCAAATGTTTTAAATGCGTTCCCCAATCCGGGCTAAAGATAATAATATCGTCAATATATGCCGCTGCAAAACCTTTGCAATGGGATAGCACCATATCAACTAATCGCTGGAAAGTAGCGGCGGCCCCATGTAACCCAAAAGGCATTCTGAGGAATTGATATAACCCTGATGGAGTGGCAAATGCTGTCTTCTCCCTATCTGCTGGATCGACCAACACCTGCCAATAACCTTTTGTAAGATCTAGCGCGGACATCACTTTGGCTTTGCCGAGTTGTTCTAGTAGCCCATCCGGGCGTGGCATGGGATAGGCGTCAAATTTGGAGACCCGATTGACTTCTCGATAATCTATACAAAAACGAGTGCTCCCATCAGGTTTGGGAACTAGCACCACGGGACTTCTCCAGGCACTACGGGAAGGTTCTATAACTCCCAACCTTAGCATCTCCTGCACTTCTTTTTCTACCGCTTCCCAGCGAGCCCGTGGAATAGGTCTCCATACGGAGCAGGCTACTTGTTGAGCTTCTGTGGGAATCTTATGGGTGATGCAGGTAGTGCAGCCTGGTTGCGTAGAAAACACCCCTGGTATTTTATTTAAGACTTCCGCTATCTCTACTGCTTGTTTTTCGGACAGACTTGTGCTGAGGACCGGTCCCACCGTTTCTTGCTTGGCAAGGTTCGTATGGGTGGGGAACCCTGGCATTTCCTCTACAGTAGACTCCCCTAATAGAGTTCTCTCTCGCCATTCCTTCAAGTGGTTCACATGTAATGTTCTAATGGTTTGAGCTGTCTGACCACATTGAACTCTATATGTTACAGGGCCTAAAACTTTTATTATTTCAAATGGACCTTCCCACGTTTGGGTTCCTGGGTGTAAACAGGCTCTGCGATGCACCAAGACTTTGTCTCCTATCTTAAAATTTCTTAGTTTGGCCTTCTTATTGTAATATTTTTGTTGCATATTCGTAGCTTTGACTAGATTTACTCTTGCTTGTTCATGGGCCCAATTTAGTCTCTCTTTCAGTTGTTCTATATATTCCACAGGTGGTTTGGCCGTTGTCTCAGGCCGTTGTGTCCATTGTCCTTCAATTAAGGCCATGATACCCCTAGGTTGGCGCCCAAAGACTAGCTCAAAGGGGCTGAAACCTGTGGAGGCTTGAGGAGTTTCTCTGAAAGCAAACAGCAACGGTTCAATATATAAATCCCACTTTTGGGGTTGGTCTTGACCTACTTTCTTTAAGGCTTCCTTGACAGTGTGGTTGAACCGTTCTACCAAGCCATCCGTCTGGGGATGATACAGGGAAGTGAATATTTGCTTGATTCCTAGATTGTTACACAATTGTTTCAATATCCCAGCTCTAAAGGATGATCCCTGGTCCGATAATAGCTCTTTGGGTATCCCAAATCTAGAGAAAAGTTGGAAGAGAGCTTTGACTACTCCAGACACCTTCATTGTTCTCAAGGGTATGGCTTCTGGATATCTAGTGGCATAATCCATAAGAACCAACAAAAATCGGTTTCCCCTCGGGGTCCTAGGTAAGGGTCCTATAAAATCCATGGCTACTCTGGAAAAGGGTTCAGAGATCCGGGGTAAAGGTTGCAAAGGTGCTACCTTAGGCAATCTGTTGGAGTGGGTTTGGCAGCTTGGGCACGTAATACAATATTGCTTTACATCTTGGTGCATGGTAGGCCAGAAGAAGTGTTCTAGTATTCGTGCTATTGTTTTAGCCGGACCTTGGTGTCCCGCCCATAAATGATCATGAGCTTCCTTCATCACCTTTAGACGTTTTGATTTAGGAAGCAATATTTGTTGTACTTCCCTTCCCCCGGTGCCCACCTGCGCTCTCCTAAACCAAACCCCGTTCTGACATTCTACCCTAGGCAGTCGGTTAGCTAACCGGGTATTAGTTATTTGTTTTTCCCTTACCGCCACTTGTCTCCGCATGGCCTCCAATGTAGGATCTTCCTCTTGCTCCTGTTGGAACTTTGGGTCTGCTGTCCATTCGCCTAACTCCTCCTCTGGGTTGCTGTCCCCTTCCCCGTCTACACTGTCTCCTGGTTCTTCTTCCGTTGAGTCCTCAGTGGGACTGTCACTATCCTCTTCTGCTCCACTGGCCGAGAGAGTGACTACTCCCCCTAAGGTTCCCTCTGCCGAGGCTTGGTGAATCAACTGCTTAAACGCTTTCAAATCTCTCCCAAGCAGCAATGGACAAGGCAAAGTGGCGACCTTAGCCGCTTCTATTGTATAGGCTTTCCCTTCGATTATTACTGGTATACGCACCATAGGCCATTGGTGATTATGTTGAGTAAAGCAGTTAATCTGCGTCCATCTAACTATGGGCCAATGGGGTGCCGCTAAATCACCCCTTATCATAGAGATCGAACTGCCGGAGTCTAACAACGCTTCTACCCGCAACCCGGGCATGTGCGCAATTACCGTGAAAGGAGCCCAACCGTGGGTACACCAGCTCGAGAGAGTTAAGGGCCAGGCTCCCTCACACTCCATGAGGGGACATTCCCTTTGTAAATGCCCCATTTCGCCACAGGAGAAACAGGGCCCCTTTGGACTCACCACCATTCCGCCCACTTTGTCTCTGTTTTCAGGGGCCTTAGGGGGACTTCCCTCTGGACGTGCGTAAGGGCGTGGCGGTAGTACCAGTCTATTTTGGCTGGGGGTTATAGGACCCCTCGAGAAGGGGCGGGCTCTTCCTCCCCGGTTTATGCTTCCAGCAAGCCCCGGCACCAGAGTACCTCCTCTCACACCCCCGGTCCCAGTGCCCGTCTGTTTTCCTTTTTCTATTGTTTTCCGTCCCGTTTCAGCGGTCATGAAATTCTCCATTAACGAAATTAACTCTTCCGCAGTCCGTGGCTTATTGCGCATTACCCACACCCTCATCTCTTCTGGTAAGGCTAAGGTGGCTTGCTCCAATATTACTTTATTTACTATTAGCTTCTCCCCGGGGAGCTTCGGCCCTAACCAACGTTCCGCGGCTTCGCTTAACTCGGCTACCCACAGTCTGGGTCTTTCCTCACTTCTCCATTTACTGGCTCTAAAGCGTTGTCTAAAGGATTCCTCCGTTATTTCAAATCTATCAAGTATCGCTTGCTTGACCGTGTTATAATCTCCCAGCTGTGTTTTTGAGAGGCTACGCAGTACTGATTGGGCTTTTCCTGTTAAATAGGGGCCTAATATATACGACCACTGGGCTTGGGGCCATTGCGCAATTTCTGCTGTACGTTCAAAGGTCTCCAAGAACAGTTCCACGTCGTCTTCCGCAGTGAGTTTAGTTAACAATGAGGTAGGTGTACGGGCCCCTCCAGCCCCTGCCCCTGAGCCTCTTACCTGTTCCCAGGTTTTGCTTAAGTCTCGTATGAGGATGGCTTGTGATTCTTGTTGATGTCTCATCCAATCACTCATCAGTCGTTCCTGTCGTTCGGCCATCCACTGGGTTAACTGAACTATATCTATAGCGGGGTTTGCCTGGGTTGCTCCGGTTGCTCCTCCAACCTCATTCCTGGCTTCGTCCATGGTGCGCTGTCTTTCTCGTTCCGTTCTTTGGGCCGGCGGTACCCACCCCGCTGGACGCGGTAATCTCGGTAACGGGAACAGCACGGCGACGTCCCCGTACGGGCCACCACTGTGAGGATTTCCCCTGTCCTTCTCTTCTTTGTACTTTTGCAGCCTCAGAATCTGAAGGAACCTGCCATGGTTCTCGCTCCAGTTTTATTGAGATGGAAACCTCCTGGGTAGTAATTACAGCTGTCCCTGGTAGTAATTTCCATCTCAATCGATTCCTCACCGGCTGTATCCAACTTTATTTTATTTGACCTTTTAACAACCATACAGGCAACGTTAGTGAACTTCTGACCTTTCTTCTACTCTGCAGAGAACTTTCCCCAACTTCGTC